AAAAGGAAGGAAAATGTAAATCAGTGAAGGTTTGGTGAATGTATGTACATTCCTCGTCAACGAACTCAGGACTACAAATTCGGTATGCTCTTAGGAAGAATCCGATGATGATGCCTCTTTTGATCTTAGTATCTTGACTGGAATAGAAGTGTGTGAGATTATATTTATTTGTAGGTTTCCGGAAAACTTGAAATCTTAGGTACATCAAAACGTTTGGGAGTTATTACGAGGACGTCGTCCACGTAATGTAACCAAGTGACGCTTGAGTGGATGATGTTGGCGCAGTGTTCAGCCTCTAGGTGTTCCATGTACAAGTTGGCTAAGACGGCACTGATGGGGGACCTCATTCCCATGCTGTAGGTTTGTTTGTAGAGCCTGTTATTGAAAGAAAAAACAGTTGAAATTAACGCAGAGTTCAATCAGGTCAAAATCTCCGAGAGGTAGAGGAAGATTAAGGTTCTGATTGACTTTACGTCGCAGAACCTCGATGCCTTGTGTGGTGGGTACTTTAGTAAAGAGGGAAGCCACGTCCAAACTGCTTAGTTTCTTGTTATGGATGGAGAGGTTTCGGATGCGGTTGAGAAGGTCGCCTGAATGCTTAAAATGAACGGGGCTGATGCACTAACAGTCGATGGAAGGAAATGGGATGGGAATCCCTGATAAACAACCTATCGTCATGCACCTGAATGAATGTTGTATTACCATTTACTGCATGGTGTTTTAATGACAGCTGCATTGATGAATAACCCCCCATGGATACGAGTCGTTGCGTTTAATGATAGCTGGAGTGAGGAGTGTCAATAACCTAGGAGACCTGTTGACCATGGTATGATCTAATGAATGACTCGGAACATCTCAATATTCAGCAAAGACGCAGCCTATGACGTCACTATCAGCAGAGTTGAGGTCGTTAAGTCAGGAAACAACTGTAGTGACATACACCAAAAAGAATATTACTAAACTAAACTAAAAAGTTCAGCATTTAGAAGAGGAACCCTATGGCCACGTTTCGTTCCATTATTGTACCATTCTCGAGTCATAGTTTTGACTTGACAATAGTCTGGTATGGACCGTAACGCCGTCGTAAGGTGTCTTGGTGTATACTGGGAAAAAATAAACTCTGTAGCACTGCCTTAGACAGTCCCGAAAAATTACTTCTTTCAAGCAAGTTTATTTAGGTACAGGTACACGTAAGTACAATTCTCATGCAAAGTGTAAATTACCTAAGATAACCCATAAAAGTCAGACAAAATGATGAAGAAGTTTGGTTATTTGTTTAATATTGACGGCCTGTCCACCCCACGCAAGAATATAACACAACTATTATCCTTACAAAAAAGAAAAATGCCGGTATTGGTTGACGTAGGATCGAGCCTGCACCACTCCAGGCACTGAATGAAACACAGTCATGTTAAATGTTCGTGTGTATTAAGCAGTAATGATGCCAGACAGTTACGTCCATCACCCAGGGAGGCTGGGAGAGGCAGACTTCATCTGGTAAAGATGCTTCTGCTTTAGTTAGTCCCTCAAGAGAGCTTCAAGCGCATAAGGTTCGACTTATTTACAATGTGCGGCCACACTCAGACCCACAGCTTATGGCTTCTACGCACTGCAGTGTACCCTGCTGACGTAAATCCTGTGTATTCATCAGAGGACATTCATTCAAAGGGAGCGCCTTGTTGCTAGCGAAGTCTCTTGTTCTGAGGAACCGGAGTTACCCCTGCCATTTCTTGGATCGAACTTCATTACCCCGTATTCATCAGGTGGGTTTAGTGCTTCCCTGTGACTGTTGTAATGACCAAATACAACGCCATCTTGATTAGTGTTCCATATATTTACTACACGTACTTGTTGATAGATTATGCAGAATGCTGATGAGCAGAGGTGTGCAGATCCTGGCTCACTTTTGTAACACAGTCAGGATGAACAGTCACGTCAGTTTCTGCTGTTCAGTATGATGTCGCCACAGCTTCAAGGTTGTTCAACATACTGCTACCACAGCTTCAAGGTCCTCCAGTATGCAGAAGCTGCTTTGCTGACCTTACCAACCATTGTTAGAACGTGAGTGAAGAAGAACAACTGACACAGCCAGCTAAGCATTCATAGCGTCTATCAGTAAGCGTCAGCAGGTGTTGCGCACTTGTTTAAGTCATCAGCTATTGATCCACTGAGAGGAATGTAATAGACACAACAACCTGGCTGGGAATGAACGCGTATTTTCCAACTCAACCGCACACCACGCACGGTTCAACGTAATTATTACTAGGACCAACAGTTTCTAGGGTACCTTCGACAGTCTACTAGCTCAGGTAACACTTTCACTTCGAATCGAACCGAGGTTTTCCTGGCATAAGGCTTAATTGCCCATACATCGGTATTTTCTCCCTTCTAAAGTTATACGGTGATTTGAACAAGCTGGACCATGAAGTATACTCAGAGCTGGACCAGAAAGTACACACAGGGCTGGACCAGGAACTATACTCAGAGATGGACCAGGAAGTATATACAGGGCTGGACCAGGAAGTATACACAGAACTGGACCAGGATGTATACACAGAACGGGAAAGGAAGTATAAACTAAGCTGGACCAGGAAGTATATACAGGGCTGGACCAGGAAGTATACAGAAAACTGGATCAGGAAGTATACACAGAACGGGACAGGAAGTATACACAGAACTGGACCAGGATGGATACACAGAACGGGAAAGGAAGTATAAACGAAGTTGGACCAGGAAGTATATACAGGGCTGGACCAGGAAGTATACACAGGGCTGGACCAGGAAGTATATAGAGGGCTGGACCAGGAAGTATACAGAGAACTGGATCAGGAAGTATACACAGAACGGGACAGGAAGTATACACAGAGCTGAACCAGGAAGTATATACAGAGCTGGACCAGGAAGTATACACAGGGCTGGATCAGGAAGTATATACAGAGCTGGACCAGGAAGTATACACAGAGCTGGACCAGGAAGCATATACAGGGCTGGACCAGGAAGTATATAAAGGGCTGGACCAGGAAGTATACACAGGGCTGGACCAGGAAGTATACACAGGGATGGACCAGGAAGTATACAGAGGGCTGATCCAGGAAATATACACAGGGCTGAACCAGGAAATATATACAGAGCTTGACCAGGAAGTATACACAAAGCTGGACCAGGAAGTATACACAGAGCTGGTTCAGGAAGTATACACAGAGCTGAACCAGGAAGTATACACAGGGTTGGACTAGGAAGTATACACAGGGTTGGACCAGGAAGTATACACAGAACTAGACAAGGAAGCATACACAGAGCTGGACCAGGAAGTATACACAGAACTGGACCAGGAAGTATATACAGAGCTGGATCAGGAAATATACAGAGAATTGGGCAGGGAAGTATACACAGGGCTGGACCAGGAAGTATACACAGAGCTGGACCAGGAAGTATACACAGTGTTGGACCATGAAGTATACACAGAGCTGGACAAGGAAGTATACACAGAATTGGGCAGGGAAGTATACACAGGGCTGGACCAGGAAGTATACACAGAGCTGGACCAGGAAGTATACACAGTGTTGGACCATGAAGTATACACTGAGCTGGATCTGGAAGTATACACAGAGCTGGACCAGGAAGTATATATAGGACTGGACCAGGAAGTATACACAGAGCTCGACCAGGAAGTATATACGGGGCTGGACCAGGAAGTATACAGACCTAGACCAGGAAGTATATACAGGGCTAGACCAGGAAGTATACACAGAGCTGGACCAGGAAGTATACACAGAGCTGGACCAGGAAGTATATACATGGCTGGATCAGGAAGTATATACAGTGCTGGACCAGGAAGTATATACAAGGCTGGACCAGGAAGTATATACAGGGCTGGACCAGGAAGTATATACAGGGCTGGACCAGGAAGTATATACAGGGCTGGACCAGGAAGTATATACAGGGCTGGACCAGGAAGTATATACAGGGCTGGACCAGGAAGTATATACAGGGCTGGACCAGGAAGTATATACAGGGCTAGACCAAGAAGTATATACAGGGCTAGACCAGGAAGTATATACAGGGCTAGACCAGGAAGTATATACGGGGCTAGACCAGGAAGTATATACAGGGATGGGACATAGAACTGACCATGCATGGAAGAAAGAACCATACGTAGGTTGGAGAACCGTGCATGGGAGGAAGAACGATATATGGAAGAACCATACATTGGAGGAAGAACCATACATGGGAGGAAGAACCATACATAGAAAACCATACATGGGAGGAAGAACCATACACAGAAAACCATACATGGGAGGAAGAACCATACATAGAAAACCATACATGGGAGGAAGAACCATATATGAGAGGAAGAACCATTCATGGAAAAACCGTACATGGGACGAAGAACCATACATAGAAAACCATACATGGGAGGAAGAACCATACATAGAAAAACCATACACGAGAGGAAGAACCAAACATGGAAGAACCATACATGGGAAGGAAGAACCATACATGGAAGAACCATACATGGGAAAGAAGAACCATACTCTCAGTAGTACCAGTTACCAGTAACCAGTTACCAGGAGATGACTCACTACCAACCGTCTGTGTGAATCAATGACTGTTATTCACGTTGCTGCTGACCATAGCATATTTTTGAATGCCGTTCACCCGCTAGGCACTGGTGGGGCAGTCTGAGATAGGGAGCAGAGAGAGGCAGGTCGGCTGTTGGCGCTTCCCATACTTTCCGTTATAATTATACGTACAAACCAGCCTACGTGAGTATTTTTAGCCAATCCACGTTATCGAACCCACATGACAATACATGGAAGAACCACACATGGAAGGAAGAACCATACACTGAAGGCAGAACCACACACATCGTTCCTTCTCCGAAAAAAAATCAAATTACCCAAATTTCCATTCTTTTTCGCCAAAGCTTAAAAATAAAAAAAAAAAAAACTGACGAGAGCTTGGTTAATGTGTCGGTCAAGAAGGTGTAGTAAGCTTACCAGCGTTGCCGAAAGTGGTCGGGAGGAGGCCCAGGATGCCTCTGATCTCCGGCTGTATTGTCTCTCCCAGGTAGACGGGCAGAGTGAGGGTCAGCAGACCAACACACACACCACCCACTACACGACCAGCGTAGATCATCATGATGTTTACTGATGAACCAATCAACAGCCAAGCTGCGGGAAACACAATTATTATTATTATTATTATTATTATTATTATTATTATTATTATTAAACCTTGAAGAGAAGATTACCTCGGGAAGTGTTGACACAGAAAATACTCTGAAAGCAGCTATAGCCAGTCACACTGAACAAATAACAACAATAAATATGAAGGTTGAAGAAGCTATCAAGGACTGGAATCAGAACATGCACACTAGACTAAATGAATACCTTGATTTCCAAGACGACAAAACTGAACAAGATAAGTTGTCTGATGCAGTTATAATAAACAGTCCACACATTCCTAGTGACATAACACAAGCACAGTGCAAAGAAACTGCTATCAGGATAATACAGAACCACGTACAAGTCATCGTGCAAAACAATGAAATCAAAGAAACACGTTTGCTAGGAAAACCAGGAAGTAAACACAGTATAATGATCCGACTTCATTCATATGATAAAAGAAAGGACCTAATTAAATCAGCAATTACAATGAAAAATGGAGTGTACATCAATGAGTGTCTAACAAAAAAATGTCAAAACCTTCTGTTCAGGATGAGAAAACTTAAACAGGAAAACAAAATACATCAGTGTTTCACGCGAGATGGGAAAATACTAGTAAGGAAAACATCAACAGGACAACAATATACCATCTCAAACGAACATGATATCTCTACCTTCCTTAGAAAAGCTGACATTTCTGTAACAGATTAGATAAGTGCCCTTAATACATATATACGTGTGGTACATATAGTGTACGTTACTATTATATTGTCCATTATTATTTTTATTATTTTTCATCACTAGCTAATGCCAACTACCTCCAATACTCTATACTTCTTTCTTACTGCTATTAATTGCTCATAATTTTAAATTACAAGTCAAATCTTACTCCAAATTAATATTATTCATTGTTCTTACCTGTCCATTTAATTTTATTTACCACTACTTGTTTTTTTAGTCACTTTTTATTGTGTGTGCAATTAGTGTATATTCCAATTACTTTTTTGCAAGTACCAAAACTATCTTTAGCTAGCTAGTACCAACTACCTCATTTTTTTACTATTTATTGTGCAATAAACTGCTCAACTTATTTATTATTACAAATCAGATCTTACTCCTAAACCAATATTATATCATAGTGACTATCTGTCCATTTAACTTTGTTTACCATTACTTAATTTTAGTCCCTTATATATTTTTTCCATTATTTTAGCTTTATATAACTACCTTAGTTCATATATTCACAATTGTTAAAATAATCAAGGTGCTATTCTCAGGTGCTAAAGTAGAATAAGTTCACTATTTTGCCATTATACTCCAAAGCTCATTTATTTGATTACCACTTTATTGTTCACCACAACTTATATTAGTCCCTTTTATATTATAATTTTATATTATAATTCTAACTTTAAAGAATTACCTTTAAAGTACTACTTACTATCATATTCCCAAGCTCCATTATTTGATTATCACTTTATTTGTTCACCACAAATTATTTTAGTCCCTTTTATATTGTCTCCTTTATTTTGAACTTTATAAATTGTATATCTTAAATGTTTCTCACAATTATATCACATAAATGTTAAACCTAAAACCAAATCTAACAGAATACTCCATTCTACTGAATGTACAACAATGCAAGCAACCATATGACCTGTCTTTGTAATACTCCATACCCCCGGCCGGGATTGAACCCGCGGTCATAGAGTCTCAAAACTCTATGACCGCGGGTTCAATCCCGGCCGGGGGTATGGTTTATTTGCAATCGTGTCATTACGATTTCTTGAGTCTTTGTAATACTCACTTGTGCTTTATAGTTATCTGTTTACAATAATGTTTTATCACTGATTTCATCATTGCTTAGTTAATCTTAAGTTAATTTTAAGCCAGCCCGTAATGCTATGTATATAAGTGGCTTTGGCATGCTGCTCTTACCTGTATTTTTTTGTACCTCTGTATGTTCAAATTACTAAATAAATAAAATAAATAAATAAATAAATTATTATGTGTGTGAGTCATAGTACAGGGAGTGGTGGAGGCTCGATACTCTGTCTGCAAATCATGAGACAGACATGTTTAAGGAGGTCATAGTATACATGTTTAAAAGGGGGTGAGAGTTCCATGTTAAGGGGCGGCACAGAATACATGTTTCCTGAGGATCAGAGTATACATGTTTCCTGAGGATCAGGGTATACATGTTTCCTGAGGATCAGGGTATACATGTTTCCTGAGGATCAGGGTATACATGTTTCCTGAGGATCAGGGTATACATGTTTCCTGAGGATCAGGGTATACATGTTTCCTGAGGATCAGGGTATACATGTTTCCTGAGGATCAGGGTATACATGTTTCCTGAGGATCAGGGTATACATGTTTCCTGAGGATCAGGGTATACATGTTTCCTGAGGATCAGGGTATACATGTTTCCTGAGGATCAGGGTATACATGTTTCCTGAGGATCAGGGTATACATGTTTCCTGAGGATCAGGGTATACATGTTTCCTGAGGATCAGGGTATACATGTTTCCTGAGGATCAGGGTATACATGTTTCCTGAGGATCAGGGTATACATGTTTCCTGAGGATCAGGGTATACATGTTTCCTGAGGATCAGGGTATACATGTTTCCTGAGGATCAGGGTATACATGTTTCCTGAGGATCAGGGTATACATGTTTCCTGAGGATCAGGGTATACATGTTTCCTGAGGATCAGGGTATACATGTTTCCTGAGGATCAGGGTATACATGTTTCCTGAGGATCAGGGTATACATGTTTCCTGAGGATCAGAGTATACATGTTTCCTGAGGATCAGAGTATACATGTTTCCTGAGGATCAGAGTATGCATGTTTCTTGAGGATCAGAGTATACATGTTTCCTGAGGATCAGAGAATACATGTTTCCTGAGGATCAGAGTATACATGTTTCCTGAGGATCAGAGAATACATGTTTCCTGAGGATCAGAGTATACATGTTTCCTGAGGATCAGAGTATACATGTTTCCTGAGGATCAGAGTATACATGTTTCCTGAGGATCAGAGTATACATGTTTCCTGAGGATCAGAGTATACATGTTTCCTGAGGATCAGAGTATGCATGTTTCTTGAGGATCAGAGTATACATGTTTCCTGAGGATCAGAGAATACATGTTTCCTGAGGATCAGAGTATACATGTTTCCTGAGGATCAGAGAATACATGTTTCCTGAGGATCAGAGTATACATGTTTCCTGAGGATCAGAGTATACATGTTTCCTGAGGATCAGAGTATACATGTTTCCTGAGGATCAGAGTATACATGTTTCCTGAGGATCAGAGTATACATGTTTCCTGAGGATCAGAGTATGCATGTTTCTTGAGGATCAGAGTATACATGTTTCCTGAGGATCAGAGAATACATGTTTCCTGAGGATCAGAGTATGCATGTTTCTTGAGGATCAGAGTATACATGTTTCCTGAGGATCAGAGTATACATGTTTCCTGAGGATCAGAGTATACATGTTTCCTGAGGATCAGAGTATACATGTTTCCTGAGGATCAGAGTATGCATGTTTCTTGAGGATCAGAGTATACATGTTTCCTGAGGATCAGAGAATACATGTTTCCTGAGGATCAGAGTATACATGTTTCCTGAGGACCAGAGAATACATGTTTCCTGAGGATCAGAGTATACATGTTTCCTGAGGATCAGAGTATACATGTTTCCTGAGGATCAGAGTATACATGTTTCCTGAGGATCAGAGTATACATGTATATTGATCAACCTTCATCCACTGAGTGACATAAGAATTTAATGATTACCAAGAAAAAAAATATGAATGGATATCCTGATTACACACTTATCTATCAGTAGCTGCAGAAAGTAAACACAGTTGTTATGTATATGGAGAAAGAGGATAGCAGAGAGCGTGAGACTTGAACGGGAATAAGTCTGTTGAGTACACAGAATAATGTGTATGGTAGAATTATTACTGACAGAGGATGAAGACAGAAATTAGGAATGGAGAGGAAGAAGGAGGATTTAGCAAGGGAAGGGGAGGGAAAGGAAGGGAAGGGAAGGGAAGGGAAGGGAAGGGAAGGGGATATGTAGTTCAGGGAAATGTGTGCAGCCGCTGGGTATCTTTATGTAGATGTTTCGCCAATTAGTGGCTTTATCACTATAATACAGGGACAAAAACAGAAGATTGGCGAGGTAGAAGATAAGGTAATGAGTCCCTGAGCCCAGCAGCAGGTGTTTAGTACCGACGTCTTGATGAATCTGAAGAAAAATCTGTTTAATTCTTCAACTTGTCAGTATTTTATGCACGTAGATTAGAATTTATTTTAAGAATATAAGTTAACAGTACTTAAAGGTAAGGAACTTCTTGTTGTGTTTATGATTTTAGAAAAAGAGTAAGACAGGATTGATAGGAAAGCTCCGTGGCAGAGGTTGCAAATGTACGTAATATGTAGAACGTTATTAAAAGCAGCAGGAGTTTTTAAGAGGATAGTGAGACTCAGGAAAGAGAGTGTTTCCTAGAAGAAGCTGACCTTAGATAGGGATGTGAGATGTCATAATGAATGTTTAATATATTTGTAAATGGGGTTGTAAAAGAAGTGTGGAGTTAAAGGATTATGGGTATGACACGAAGTGGGAGGGTTATCACAGTTCTTCTTTCTCGATGACAGTTCTGTGAGGAGAGTCGAGAGAGAGAGAGAGAGAGAGAGAGAGAGGCTGGTGGACGAGTTTGGGAAGGTGTGTAAATGGAAATGGAAAATGAACACAGAAAATGGAAAAGTGACAAAAGTAACCAAAAGTTTAGATCATCAAAAAATGTCAGCAAAAACTGTCAGATTGGAAGGAGTATGAAGGTAGTGAATGTATTTAGATATTTGTGAGTGAACTATCAGCAGCCGGGTGTACGAGACACGACGTGAACCCTAAAGGCAGGTGTCTGGAGGCATCCTGGGGGCAAAAATAACCGTGGAGGCAAAATAGGGACCAGTAGAATGTAGTGGTGCCAACACTT